CAATTTATTGTTTAAAATCATTCTTTTTCTTATTTTCCTGCATTTCTCGCCGGCCTTTATTTTCATAAGTAGTCTATTAAAGTCATCATCTGAAGCTCCCATTTCTTTGTAAATCCAGGACAACTTCAAATGCGTAGTATACGAAAGCAAGTTCTTATGTGACAATTCTGCGTATTTAGAATCAATACTCCCTTGTATAAGTTTGCGTTCCGCTTTTTGTTGAACCTTGTCAGCCTTCGGTAAGTATGGATTAATTTTCAAACGATGGCTCCCCGGGGTGACTCCTTTCCTTTAATTAACACAAATTAGCAAGACTTTGCATGGAGGAGAATTACTTCGAATTCAGAAACGAGATGTACAGAACAACATCGGGAGTATCGATGGGCAACCCACTTTCACCATTTATCGCAGAATTATTTATGTCCAAATTGGAAAAAAGAATGGAGGAGGATTCTCTGATGCCTAGAGTATGGATGCGGTATGTTGATGACGTCTTCGCGATAGTGGACAAGGAAGAACTGGAGAATATAAACAGATGCATCAACAAATTACATAGAAACATCGAATTTACATTCAAAATTGAGGAAAATGGAGTGTTACCTTTTTTGGACATATTGGTGAAAAGAAAATCTGAAAAAATTGGATTCAAGATATATAGGAAGAAAACAACAACACAAAGATGCATTACAAAGGACTCGTACCATTCAACGAAACATAAAATGGCGGCGTTCAACTCTATGACCCATAGAATGCTAACCACACCGATGGACAGACACGACTATAGATCAGAAGTAAACTTCATTTTGGACACGGCTGTGAAGAACGGTTATTCTACTGAACGTATTAACAAACTCATTAGGAAGAAAAAACGAAAAATTGAGCAGGAGAATATGAGCACATTGTTTAAACAGAACAGGATATTGGAAGAACAAAGAACAACATGGGCATCTTTAAGTTATGATCATCACTGTACAAACTTGATAAATAAACAACTAAGGAAACACAATATTCGGACATCGGAAACCAATAGTAAATATCAACTTAGGAGTTTGTTAAATTCGGCTAAAGATAAATTGAAGATACATGAAAGATGCGGTGTGTACAAAATCAATTGTAATAATTGCGATAAATTTTACATAGGACAAACGAAGAGACCCGTTACAACAAGACTTAAGGAACATTTAAGTAAAATAAAACGTGCAAGGAGAGTAGGATTTAACCGGATTTTCGATTCTATGGTTGCAAAACACATTTATGAAACGGATCACACAATCACGGAAGATAACTTAAAGGTATTAAAAGAGGTAAAAGGAAAACACAGGAGAGAAGTTCATGAAAGCATGCAGATATACAAATCAAACAAGGACTGCCTACTAAACACGGACGAAGGTAACGCGGCTACTTGGCTCTTTAAATTAATTATTTGACCAGTTTTAAGGTTTAAAACAGGTATAAATTTAGTTTGTAAATAATAACAAAAAAAAAAAAAAAATAAAATAAATAAATAATCAAATTCTAGATTAAGTCAGGTAGATTATATTAAGTCAGGTATAATATTCCTAATTTTAATAGATTTCAATTTTTATTGTTTGTTGTCTTAATTAGAAGAAAATCAGCTTTGATAAAGTGCGTATGTAGCGCACGAAATATATTAGCGAAAAATAAAAAGTATTTTATTTCGAATAAAAGGAAGTTTTCTTTTCACACCAATAAAAAAAAAATTATATTTCGGAAAAATTATCAACCATTGAAGAAAAAAAAATTTTTTTGAATAAAAAATAGTTAAAAATGTTCATATAATTTGAAAAGCAATTAAAAAAATTAAAAAGTTCATTCTGTATCATCTTCACTTGTTAGAAACACGACAGCTCTTTTCTTGTTTCTTGCCGGAAATTCTTCACTACTGCTACTAATTTCCCCAATCTCAGAGTTATTTTTTAATTCATTTAAAACTGTTTAAGTTTACTGTTAAATAAAAAAGTGCTACTTAGCAATGATTTAAAATCTTGAAAACATTTTTTTTTTTAATTTATGTGACCGTGCTAAACTGAAATAGTGTCGTGTAAATTGAGGTTTTTCCCCATTTCTAAGACCGTGTTAAACCGAAACCGTGTAAATAGAGTACCGTGTAAATCGAGGGTTAAGTGTAGTACTTTTAAGTGTTGAAAAATTACTTAAAAATCACAAGAAATGTTTTCTCACATTTAAAAACCACTTAACTGAAATTAATCGAAAATTTTTATAACTTTAATCAAAAAGCAATAAGAAAACGAACAAACAAGTAAAAACGTTTCAGTCGATATAAACCGACCGAATTATACCCTGCACCTTAGCAAAGAGTTTAAAATTTGTTTTTGAAATATCTAGAATTAGCTCTCATTGTTGTATACCAAGTATTCGAACCTGACATATCACTCAATAGAAACTGTATGGACATGTTTGATCTATAATTCGACACACAACTGCAAAGTTTCATGAACCCAGTTTTATTATTTTTCCAAATATTTAAAGCTGGAACTTGTCAAGCCATTCCACCAAAAGTTCGGTTATATATTTGTTTTATAATTAGACACACGACTGCCATATTTTATGAATCTGACTTTATTATTTTTCCTAATATTTAAAATTAACTTTTGGAGTTGTATGGCAGCTCCCCGAACCAGTTCAGCCATTCTATTAAAATTTTCAGAACATATGTAGAGTATAATTGGACACATTTTTGCAAAATTTGATATTAATATTTTTATTAGTCTTGAGATATTTAAAAAAATCTCTTTGGGTTGTATGACAGCTACCCGAACCCGTTCTCCGAATTGGTGCAACTTCAACAGCAGCCGTCGTTTGCAAAAAAGAAACATCTTATGAAAGTTTGGTGTCAATTGCGTTATTCGTTTTTGACTTATCGTGCGATCGGACGGACGGAATTTTATGCGAAGCAAGAATATATATATATGTCCATACTGTCATCGACTCCTTCAAGTGGTTACAAACTCCATACCAAAGTGAATATACCCTTTACGTAGGTGCAGGGTATAAAAAGAGAAATCACATACAATTCAAGCAATAAAAATAACAATTCAAGCGCGACAGATCCGTTCAAATAATTTTGAATACAGTACACCAAGTTTATAAGAAACAGGCTCTTTTAAATCCAAATATTAATTGATTAAGAATTAATACCAATTACTTATTCCGGTTTTAGTTAAAAAAATATTGAATGTGAAACATAAATGTATTAACTTTAACTTTTAAATGATCGAATAAGTTTTATTTTTTTTGACAAGTTAAAAGTTGAAGTTTTAAATCGTTTGCCAGTTAAAACGTTTGTTAGTCTTAATCGGTTTTTGTGACCCTTCGGGAAAATCATAATCCGTAATTATTTGAGAAAAAATTAATTAAACAGAATAATTTTTAAAAATTTTTTATGGATTGCAATTTTGTTCAAACATTTAACATAAATATTTCATGGTATTTAGCACATTTAAATCGAAAATTTTGAAAGGAAATAAATCCCTGCAATGTTGAAAGTATGTTTTTTTTTATTTTATCGATTTTATCCGATGATTTTAAATTTAACAATAATAAAGCAAAACTTTTAAAACAAGAAAAATATCCTTTTTGATTGCAACCCTTATTATATCGTATACATAATATGTATGGAATTTTAATATTTTAACCCTTTTGTAATAGTTTTTCTCTATTGAAGTGTGCTTTTAATTTATTCTGTTGCAGAATATTAACAGAACTACAAGAAGAGAATAATATGCTTTTCAATTTGAATTAGTTTTATGTGAATTCTTATAGAATTTAAAATAGAAAACTATTTCAAAATAAAGCTTCACTAAAAAAGAAAAAGGTTATAAGCAAAAGCACTGAAAACACAAAGGAAATAATAAAGAATAGTGATGGCAACAAATTTTGCATATCCAGCTTTTGACGGGAACACACTTTTCCATAGTAGGGATGTGTAAGCAAATTATTTCGGATAAACTGATCGGATGAATGCAATAAGTTCGGATGAACTGATTTTGATGAAAATTTACATGTAAGTTTACTTCGACTATGGCACGAATTGATCAACTTTTGCCATATATCAGGTCTTGAGAACTGGACCTTTTTGCGGGTCTATTATACATTTTTGATCATCTTGAAGAGAGTATTGAACATATTTACTTGAAATTTCATATATGAGTTTCTTTTGACCGTACGCGAAACCTACTAAGTTTTGAAACAAATCAAGAATTTCTTGAAATTTAATATTTGAGCTCTGATTGGTATCGGAAGTTACTGGCGATCTTTTTGTAGAATGGAAGCATAAGCTCAAAACGAAACTTTTCTAAGAGCCAAATTCACATTTTTCTAGGTATGTTAACTAAAAGCTTATTAGTATCCTTGTAAAGAAGTGTTTAAAACGCATTTTCTTAATCTTCTGGAATACTTTTACTAATCTAGACAATATATATTGCGGTCGGTTATGTGCTGACCACATCACATTTTTGTCTTTTGGTTCATTCTTCTAATTTTACTGTTGCAAATCCGTTATATTTGTTTTGATTTGAATTTTTCACAAAATATTCGATTTTATGTACAGAGACAGCAATAAAGGGGTTAAAATTCAATTAACATGCCAATATGTACTTCGGTGATTCATCTTGACCTTTAGAATAAATAACATTTGCGCATTTTAAAATTTTAAAATTCGAAAGAATTTTCTCAGTTTGTTCATTGTTTTCTTGTTGATTATAACTTTTACCTTGTGGTTTGCTTTATACGAAAATCAAAAATGACGTGTAATATGCTTATTTGACTAAAATTTCAATACTATTTCGAAAATTTTACAACTTAGAATTCAATCTTCTTAGAATTTAAAATGGACCCCAATTTAATATATGAAATAATTAAAATAATAACATTTAACAAAAAAATTTCTACATAAATTTAGTTTTTTGATTCATATGTACATATACCAAAATTGAATTTTTTAATATTATATTTTACAGCTATGAAAGCGGCACTTCTTATTCAAAGATGGTATCGACGATATTTAGCGAGAATGGAAGTTAGACGTCGTTATACATGGACAATTTTTCAAAGTATAGAGTATGCTGGAGAACAAGACCAAGTTAAGGTAAGTTATTTATTATAAGACATACAAATAAAATAAATTTGAACGATTTGGTGTGAAAAGATAGAAATTTGAAGAATATTTGATTTTTATACACTCAAACTAAATCGTATGAGGAAAGTAGAATCTTATGTAAAAATAGAATCTATTAGAAAAATAGAACCCAATTTTTTTCAGCTAACAAAAATAAAAATGGTGAACACTCAAAATTTTTGATGTGTAGTCGCACTTTAAGATTATATGGTTTTTAATTTAATTTGCAGTAAATAAGAGTGACAGCAGATTTTATCGAGTTAAGTTTAATTTTCAAACAGTAATTCTTTAGTTGTCCAATTTTATTTGATTTATAAACACTTACTTAGAATCTTAACAGCTATTAATAATATAGATAAATATACATAGATAAAACTCGAACTTTAGCTCGCATTCCGACTTAAGTTATGTTAAAGTGAAAATTTTCTTTAAAACAAAAATATAAACTAACATGTATATACATTATCCTATAAAGAACGATAACTGACCGTAGAGGTTTCAGAACTTTAACATGGTGAAACTACGTCGACACAAATGTAATCTTAGACACCTGCAAAACCTTTCTTGGGGTATCAGTTAACTTTTTTTCCACTTTTTTTAAATACTTCTTCGGTAATTTTGATTTGCTTGTTTAAGAACTATTCAGTTAGTAAATCAACAAATATTTTTGTTTCTTGTTTGTTATACTAGTAAAAAAAACCTTTTCAGAATTATTGAAAAATGTGAAAAAATTAAAATTTGTAAAATTTGTTAACAGTTTTTGATGGTTATCCTTTGTCTTCCAGTTTTTTGGTCAGACTTCAAGTGACTCTAATATTATATCGAACTTTTTTGCTTCTCATTAATCTGGCGCTTTTATTGCCGACGGGGGACTTTTAAGTTGATGAATCCTGTTTTGAGTCGATGTTAGAGGAATTTTCGGGCTTTAATAGCTTTGATATAAATGGAATAGTTATTGATAAGGTTGTCGTTTTGCAACATTTGTTATCTTTCCATGATGATTTGATTTGCGATATTGTTGTTTGCGTCTTGCTGGTCTACTCCTTTTCTTTACAATTTGTCGATTCGTAGTGGAGTATTTCTAGACGTTTGAAAGAATTCTTTTGTTATTCCGGTCCATGAGGAGGTCCTGCGTAATTAAATTGGTAATTATAGCCCCATTTTTAGTTGTTTACTGTTCCTAAACTCTTTGAGAAAAACCTATATGATTATTTTTACTCTTATTGTGGGCCATTTATTTTTCCTAATCAACCTGGTTGAAGTTGTTTCTGGAACAATAGAGTTTCTTTAGTTACGTGGACCGCTCGATGAAATTTTTGCTGTTATTGATAAGGCATTTGACACAATCCTACACGACGTTATTCTCTTGAAGCTGAGAAGAATGGGCTTTTCTTCTCGTAGTTTGTCTTCTACTTATTTTTCTGAAAGAGTTTGCCAGGTACTGTTTCGTTCTTGTTCCTCGATAGCTTTTTTGGCTATTTCTGGGGTTCCCCAGGATGGTCATTTGGATTCTCTTCCCTTTATTGTGGCAGCTAATGACTCTTTATGTGTATCCGGTTTTAGGGTTAGTAGTTTTCCTGAAGACATGAAGATTTGTAACAAAACATGATGAAGGCAAAATAATCTTGATAGGCTCGCATTATGGTGTAATAGGAATGTTTTACAGTTCAATATAGGCAAGTTTCGGGTATTAAGAATCTCTAGAAGGCATTATTTAGAAGAAGGAAAGTTTTGATTACAGGCTTAATGAGCAAATCTGGAGGGGGTTGATCAAATTTGTGATCTAGGTGTTACGCTGGATTTGTGATCTAGGGGTTACGTAAGCTCTATTTTAAGATGCACTTCAATTTGATGGCTACCACTACGAGTTCTGCTCTTGGTTTTGTCATGTGTTATCTGGTTAAGTAAATGTGTTACAGAATATTATAGAAATGCCTATTAAGTGCTTCTTTCAATTTTTAGGGCATTAGTAAGCTTATATTTAACATATCTAGAAAAATAAAAATTTGACTCTTAGTGGAGTTTCGCTTTGTGCTACCAAAATTCCCTGAAATGGTCGCCAGTTAGTGTTGGTAACAACCAGAACTCAAATATCAAATTTCAAGCAATTCCATCAATCCGTTCCGTAGATATGGTAAAAAATGTAAAATCGGCCCTCAGATTAGTTTCCGAGCCCTGATCTTTCCAAAATCATATGTCTTTCCAATATCTTATGTTCATTGTTTTAATAGGAAGAATTTACATATTATTTTTAATGAAATCGGTTAATTATTTCTGTTTATATACGCAAAAATGTATATTTGGCCCGTGGTAAACGCCCAGTGGCTGACGCCTGATTTCTTCCAAAAAGTAGGAGGTTTTGCGGACCGTCGAGTGAAGCTTATATATGAAATTTCAAGTAAATCTGTTGAATATTTTCTTCAAAATGATCAGGAATGTAAAATAAGCCTGCTAAAAAGTTCATTTCCCGAAGCCTGATATATCCCAAAAGTTGATCAATTCGTGCCGTAGTCGAAATAAACTTATATATAAAATTTCATTAAAATCGGTTCAGCCGAACTTGAGAAACACGCGTGCAGCACAGACAGGCGGAGTGATAGACCGACAGGGTGGCAAAAATACCTTATTTACACCTTCCTACCATGGAGAAGTGCATTTCCACCGAGAACTTGATATGCAAAATTTGTTGGCATCACAAAACCTACCTCTTGTGTATACAATACGGTCGATAAAAAAGAGAAATAAACGTGATGCTCTTTTTGATAGACTTTGAAGTGACTGACTTTAAAAGTGATTGCTCTTTAGGGCAATTTTGAAGGAAGCAAAGTATATGTTTTAAAATTGGAAAAATGAGTGTTAGTAGTTTCACACGTTACGCCATTTTTGATGTTCACCTTTTTGCAAAATATCCAACTCGTTTAAGATACAAAGTTGAAGTTTGTGAAAATTTATAAGACAACGGGTTTTTTTTTAAAGATAATATTTCTTAAGTACTTTTTAATAAACTTTTTACTTGTCTCTGGCTTTCTTAAAGCTTTCTTTTAGAAATTGAAAATTCTGAAATATTTTATTTTGAGAATTTATTGTGTCAAAGCAATAGATGCTTTTTAAATTTTACAAAAGTAAAAATATGTAGTTTTTTTCTGTGATTTTTGAGTAAGTTTTTGTTAGTTTTTCACGTAACATTTTTCTCAGATCACAGAAATTTTGAAACTGTAAAAGAAAGTTAATTTTCACTCAAAGAAGTTTCAGTGTATCTTTTTCTATTTTTTTATGTATATTTCGTATTAACTTATTACGTTATAGTTTTATAAATCTTTAATAAGTAGAATCTTTATTAAATACTAAGGGTGTGTTATATGGAACAAGTTTATGAAATATTTTCGAGTTTTTTGTTTGTCAATTTTCCCTTCCAATTATCAAAGTAATTGTTGTATCCATCGTGTATTGCTTTCGCAAAACATAGTTTTTAAAACAGTTGGGTGGCAACCGATGCAGTATTTTTTTTTCTCTGCTATTTAATCCTTAAATTTCTAATAGAGACTATTAGAGTTTTTATTATTTAAAATAAACCTAATGTTGCGTGTCTTGAAAATATCCAATCAAATATATATTAGGCCTACGTTTTCGAATTTGTTTCAAATTTGCAAAAAATAAACCCCTGCAACGTTGATTCCATGGTTTAAATCAGTGACTCCCAAAGTGGTCTATATAGACCCTCAGGGGTCCATGAGTATCTGCTATGGGTCTATAAAAAATATGAATTTAATTAAATTAGTCTTTTATTTAACTTTTTCACATCATAGGTGTACCCTGCTACTGTTAGAAATTTACATCTGTCAAAGACAGTAGCACGGGGTCTATCAAAAATTGAAAAATACGACAAGGAGTCTGCAAGAGAAAAAAAGTTTGGGAACCTCTGGTTTACATAATTGTCTTTGAATTTTTTGAAACTATTTAACGGAAATTTAAAATACGAAAAATTAGAAAATATGTACATACATATGTATGTAATATCGATTTGGAGTTTTTTTTGTTGTATCAAATACTCGTTTACTTTTTTCAAACACGGAAGAAATATTTCGTGCTTTAATTAAAGTATATTCAAAATTAAGAAATATCAATAGTTGCATTGAAATGTCAGAATTAATTTTGTTGTGTGGTATGAAAAGAAAACAAATGTAAATTATAAGAATCATCCTTTAAGCACTCTTGTGTTACGTGAAATTTTGAAGAATTCTGCTTAACATTTTATTTCATTTTAATAGGGAAAGGATAAATAACTTAAAAATGATAAAGTTGGGTCAAACCAATGGTTTGTATTGTAGCACTTTTCCCTTCAACAAGTGAAAATTCTGCCTTTAAATACGGTCTAGGTATACCTATCACACTATAAAATTATTTTCATTCATTTTCAAAACTATTCCTAGGATTGAATATATTTAGGATGAACGATTTATGCACTCTTTGAAATAAAGCAAAAACTAATATAACAAGAGGGGTTAACATAGTGCTCGATTTTAAGGATTAATTGTGTGAGTTAAGAAAAATAATTATATTTTTTAATGTCATGAAATTTACCTTTGACTTTTTGCGTTTATAGATAATTGAAAAAGCTTGCCGTTTCGGAAATATAAGGTATCAAAAATTCAAATTTTACAAATTTCAAGAGGTGATAACTTGAGAGGGGGTGGAGATGGAAAAAAATTTTCTTCTAACGAAATGAACTATTTGATAATGTCTAAAAGCCCCTAAAATTTTAAACTTCTACAAGCTGGGGTCTAGAAGAAAAACGACATCAAAAATTTGGAAAAAAAGGACTTTAGATAACGGTAAATTTGAACGGCCATTTTGTTTTTTTAAAGTTTAACTATAGTATACCGCACTAGGGGAAGCAAGCCACTGCCTTTCTGCGTTTGCAAAATTTCAAAACTGCTTATGGTTTCATTGCAACAAATAGTTAAAAAAGG